CGCAGGTCGCCTCCTCGCCGCCGCCCCGCAGGAGACTCGGGGGTGACACTCGCCGCCGCGCCCGGCGCCTGGAGAGGGAGTGCGGCCGTGCCGGCCGTGGCAGCACCCCACCATGCCGAGGTCCTTCCTAGTGAAGAGCAAGAAAGCGCACAGCTACCACCAGCCCCGCTCCGCCGACGAGGACTACAGCGTGCGGCTGGAGACGGTGCTAGCCCAGATCTGTGCAGGTAGGAGTCTGCCCGCCTGCCCCGCATCACCCCGCTGCTCACGGCACCGGCCGGTCCTGTGCAGCCCCCGCGGGACGCCGGAGGGGCCGATGCGGGGTTTTAGAGCGTCCGACATGAAACCTTGGTGGGAGCGAGACCGCCGCGGGAGGTGGCTGGCTCCCACCATGGACCCGCGCTGATGAGCCCCCTCGCCCCCTTTGCCCTGCAGACAGCAAGATCCCCGAGGACACGGAGCTGTGCCGCACTGCCCCACCCGATCCGGAGACTTCCCAAGGGCGCTTCTCCCCGGAATCCCACCTTACCGAGGCTGCCGATGGCACCTCCGAGTCAGTGCCCAGTTGCGAGGGCAGCGTCTGTGACAGGGTGTCTGAGTTCGAGGATTTCTGGAGACCTCCCTCGCCCTCCGTCTCTCCAGGTAGGACCGGGGCGAGCATCGCCCAGCGGGGGTCCGGCTGCATGTCAGCGTCCGTGCCGTGGGGCAGTGCAGCATGTATTTCGTGGTTGGTGGCCGCCGCCGAAAACGACTACAAGGGACATATTTGCCTGTCTCTTTTTTATTATTATTTTCTTCCCCCCACAGATTTGCCAGAATCTGTTCCTTCCACTCGTTTTCGGGTTACATCTTTCGGCTTGCTTTCCCAGCCCGTGTCCCGCTGCTCCTTCAGCAGGCTGTAGAAAAGTTGTCATGACATCGGGTGTTGATTTTTTTGTTCGTGATTAATTGTTAAAAGCAGGTCGGTTATGTTTTTAAGGGTCCCGGCATTTTCCTACAGGGTCCTGCCTATACGGACCTTTTAAGTTTTTTAAGACAGTACAAATTTCTGCTAGGCAGTCTACGTACCCGTAGCAAACAACGTTGATTTTGTGTTTTTTACTACCTGGTAGACATCTTCCCCAATACCCTTTCACGTTATTTCTTGACTCTTGCCTATAAAAAGGATCTGTCTCTCTCTCTCTTCCCGCCCCTCTCTCTTTTGGTGGTTTTTTTTGGATTGGGGTTTTTTGTTTGTTTATTTTTCTTTTCCATAAACGCATTTGTAAAAACCAGAGGAAAATAATGATGGTCAGATTTAAACACCCCAAATCCAGGAAACTCACACTTATGGCTGTAGTGCCTGTCTCTGGCTCCCTCGTCCTGCCTTTGATGTGGTTGAAGCAGTGGGAAATTCTGTCCCCAGCCTGGCGCAAATACTTATCTCGTTTAAAAATACAGTGGTGTCATTTTATAACAAAAATACGTGCACATATAAAACTATTTTTTATTGCTTCGATTAAAAAGTGACAGCTGGAAAAAAGAACAATTTCTGTCTCGATGAAGGAGAGATTGTGTTAGGTTTATCAAGTGACAGCAGACACCAGCAAACGAATACTTAGTCCTGGTTTGCCACCGGGTTTTCCTACTTTGTCTTTATAGTGTCCTCACATATCAGTGCCTGATTGTAATCATGTGGGTTTGCATTTTTAAAGCCTCATCTTCTTTTAAGAGTCCTAAGCCCCTTTGAAGGAACATTCAAAATGCTGCCCAGCATCATCACAGCCAGCCACAGGACAGTTTCAGTCTGTGCAAATGACAGACCAGACCAAATGCAACAATGCAACAGTCTCTCTTCTGATAATATTTCTGCACAAAGTGTAGCCACGTGGGTAATTTTTTTTCTAATGAATTTGTCCTGCTTCTCCTTTCCCAAATAATTACAATTTCTGCACAGGAAACAGACCGTTTTCACGTGTTGTATAAAGGCAGATGTAAAATGAAGCAGGTATTTACCAGGTCTACTCTGCCTTTTCTTCTTCTCCACTCATTTCTTCTCTGACAGTGGGATTCACTAGCTCCCAGCCAATCATCCAGCTATCCCGGGAAAATAGCTTTGCAAAATGCAGGTGACATCCCCAGATCAAGATTTTTTGAATTGTAGGGGGGTGTGGTTCAGGGATTGTCTGATCCCATTCATAGGAGGATCGGGAAGGTAAGGAAGTCCCAGGAAGTGTAAGAACTTTATTAAATGAATCTCAGTGCATTGAGACAGGTGCTGTTATGTTAATGATGAAGACAGTGGCAGCAGGATTAGATAGTTAGGCTTCCTCCCTCAGCTCCCCCCAAAGCCCTCTGCCTTCCAGCTGCTTTGTCAAATTCAGTGCAAAGCTGGAATTTGTGTCTAGGTCACTTCTCTAAGATGCCCTGGTGAGAGACTGTATTCCTGTGATTGTGTTTGGATGAGGCACAGTTTTTGTGTTTTGCCAGGTAGAGCAGATGAGAAATGATGATTCTAAGTAATGCTCAGAGCAGGCATGGTGAGCAGTACGATGACCCCCTTATCTCTGAATATAGGTGCAGGTTGCACTTCAGTGTGCAGTGAAATCCTTATTTCACTTTTGGTTTTGAGTGCTGTGCTGCTGATCTAGGTGGGCATACAGCATATAGACACACTACCTTTTAACTCTCTAATACACTGTTGACTCCATTAGTGCAAATCACTTTGCTATTTAACCTCACTTTCTGTGTGTATCTCTAATCACACGAGTTTGCATATACAGAAGGTGCATGGGAGTTCCTGCAGCAGTGTATTAGTAAGTCCTGATGAGTCTCTTGATGTTCCAGTCTTGAAAGGAGACTTGTACTGGGTATAATGGGCAGAAAGTGGTGTTTTGTGCTCTGTTTAAGAGGACACTTGAATCTTTCTTTGCTATGCATATCAGCCATTTAAGGTTGAGTTTATCTTGCCTTCAAGAAAGAATATTGATTTTTTTTTTCTCCCAGAAGTAGTCTATATAAAGGTTGCACAGAATTTCTAGGAAAATGAGGGAGAATCTTTGTCTCCCTCCCTGCTCCCCCCTAGATGCTGTGGAGTGGAGGAGAGGCAGACACAGAAGTACCTTGCAGTGTGGCAGAGCAGGGTTTGGAGGTTGCTTTTACACTGGGTACAGGGCTTGGATGGCTTGAGTATAACATGAATGACTCCCCTGCACTTGTGCTTGAGAGGGCTCCAAAGCATGCGAGGTGATGGAAGGAACATTGCACGCAAACTGATCTGTGGTGCAGTGTTCACCGTGTACTGTATTGCCAATTCCAAGGGCTCAAAAATCAGGTCAGCCTTCCCTCTCCTCTCACTCGATGAGCTGGCTTAGAAATCAAGATTGTAAGTAATACCTTATGGATATTTGGTTCTAGTGTTGAAAAATTGAGGGTTTATGTTTTCATACTTTTCTTTAATGTTTGGACTAGAAGTTGGCTTTAAGGGGAGGGGGGAAGGTTAAAACAAGAACAAGCAAACAAAAAAGCTGAAGGCCTGATGAAATCATGCAGTTTTAAGAGCTGGGACTTTAAAATAGTTTTTAATTTTGTGGTAAAATTGTAAGAGATGGCAACACTGAAACTGGTTGCAAAGACACAAGATAGATGATGTGACACTGACCACAACTTTGCAGTCAGCGCAGAACAGGAAAAATCATGCTCAGCACCATGTCAGCTAATTTGATTTCATTGCTCTGTTCAAATGTCCCAGTTGGTATGTGTGCATATATATCCAACCAAAAGACTGCTAATTTCAATGGAAGAATTTGAGACTGTTAACGTCTGAAATTACGTAAAAGATAGGAAACAATCATGTCATTCAAAGCTCAGTTTTCACCTGATTTCTCACTCCCTTCTGTAACCTCTCAGTGACCATTTGCCTATTCAGATGGATAGCCTAACACATCATTTCTTCCTTCCCTAGTCCACCCCTGCTTATTTTGTTTTACCGAAGGCTGAGAAGGCCATGGGAGCTGTGAAGCTGACAGGAGGGAGAAAAAGTAGGAGAGCAATTGTGGGTGGACAAGATTTTGGTTAAGAGGCGTTAATCTGGAAGCCCAAGTTGTAAGCAGTGCCAATATCTCTATGAAGGCATTGGTGTTTCAGCAGTTAACTGATTCATCTTTTCCTTGGTTCACTAAAACATTTGTCCAGTGGAGAGATTTGACTCTCCCAATGCTGCTGTGTGTTGTGATGAGAAGTGAAAGCAGTGCACCTCAGCCATTAATCAGCATCTCTGGCAGACATGGTTGGGGTCTGGTACATCATGCTCCGTGCCCAACTGTGCTTTCATCCATGCAAGGCTTCCTGAGCATTTGTGCCTCATCTGAAAGGCTGTGCTCCTGCCATTATATCAGACTCTGCTATTGGCCCCCAAGTATGATTGATATTGTAGTGCCCAGTTTCTTGATCAGATGCCATTGCCCAAGGTGAGCCTGTTAGAGTCAACTAAAGCCATCTAAGCTTGTCCTGGTGGAAGTTTGCTTTGATTATCACTGGTAGGAAAATGTTAATTGTGTCTTCAGTTTTTAATGTGGCTTATACTGATGACTTTACAAAGCTCTGTGTTGTGGGTGGACTCAATTTCTTCACATGGAGAACCTCAGAGCAATCTGAAACAATCATGATTGTTTTTCAGATGAGGATTGATTTTAGTTGTTCAGGATTTTTTTTTCTGAAAAAGTGTGGCATATTATGCAGGCACCTCAGAAGCTGTTATTTATTTCAGTTATGTTGTAGTATAGTTATGGTCAGTTGTGGCATGAAGTTGAGAGACTAGATTGGGACATTAAATTGTGCAACAAGCTACTTTTGTTGAACAGGTAAATCTTGGTACGTATTTGCTGTGTCTGGCACCTCTGTAATGCCATATTTGCTATATGGATGTGTAGAATCTCTGTCAGAGCTTAAACATGGACTGCGAGCTTTGATGTCCATCTTGGGACATAGTAGATACATGTTTCTGAGAAGTTGCAGATAAAACTGTAGGAAGTTGCAGACTGAGTTGTTTAGATTGTTTGCACAGTCAGATCAGTGTGTATACACCTGGACACCCAGAGATTGAGACAGAAAAAATTGATGTCTGCTTTAAGTAATTTGGCTGGGACATCCAGTAAGTAGGTAGTACTGGATGCTCAGCCCCTAATGTGCAATGTAAAATGTCCTCCCATGAGAGATGAAAGGGCAGCTTCAGTGTGCAGTACAGGGGTCTGCCTCTGGGCATAAGTCTGAGTGCTGAGACTGTTCTGCCCCGTGATAGTGTCTGGATTGTGAAGCACGCTAATTCCCATGCCCTTGTGTTTCCACAGCCTCGGAGAGATCTGTGTGTCCATCCCTAGATGAAGCGCCCCCTTTCTCGGTGCCCTTCAAACCGTACATGTGGAACAGCCTGGGTGGCTCTGAGCTGAGGCACCTTGTGCAAAGCTACAGGCCCTGCCCAACGCTGGAGCGAACCTCAACGCTGGGGCTCTTCTGCGACCGAGGCTCTGAGCCTGCCCTGTATGGCGCTGAGTGTGGCTCTTCCCTTGGACTGTATGGTGACTTCAGCTCCCCGGGCACGGGGCTGTTTGAGCGCTCGCCGGCAGCAGCTCCTGGACTCTATGCCGAAACACAGCCTGGGCTGCAGCAGGAGAAGGGGCCAGGTGGCATCAAAGTGGAGTCAGACCTCTTGTGCCGCCCATTGCTCATCAGCACTGGCTCTTACAAGTGTGTTAAGTGCAGCAAGGTAGGGGTCCCTTTCTCCCACACTGGTTATGACTCTTCCCCAGACCCTTCTCCCTGGTGAACCTGACCCTGTGTACTCTCCTCCCTCAGGTTTTCTCCACACCGCACGGCCTTGAGGTGCATGTGCGCCGCTCACACAGTGGCACGAGGCCCTTTGCCTGTGACATGTGTGGCAAGACCTTCGGCCATGCAGTCAGCCTGGAGCAGCACAAGGCCGTGCACTCGCAGGTGAGAGCAGGGCAGGCTGCCAGGATGAAGGTCTGGGAGCCAGGGCCAGCTGCCTTATTCAGCTGGCTGGGGAGGGCAGGAAGGCAATTGCAGGGCAAGAGTTGGGAATCTAAACTGAGGAGGGGAAGAGAACATGGTAGGGCTGCAGTTGGGCAGTTGTAGGTGAAGAATATGTGACAAGCAGAGGAAAGGGTGGGCAGCTAGTGAGCAAAGGAGCTAATCAACAAATTAAAGAACACAGGCTTTGTTTCCATTCCTCAGACCTTGCATGCATCCCTGTTAAGCAATGGGCACTCTTGGCACTCCAGAGGTAACAGATTTTCACTCTCAGAGCTGGAAATTGTAATGCAGATGTAGACTTCTCTTTAACAGCTAAAGCAACTCACTGTGATTTCTTTGGATGCAATTCTCCTCATTCTTTCTCCTCCTTCCCCCAGAGCAGTGAGTCTTTCCTTGTTTGTAGTCTGTGTGTCTGTGAAGGGAACATCTGAATGACCAGTCAGGTATAGAGCACAGACTTTACCCGTCTCAACACACTCTGAGTCACACCCCAGAAGAATATGGTAGTTAATTTTGGTAGGAGGACTTGTAACATTTTCCACCTGCTGATACTGTGCCATATTTCCCCTTCCCCACCCACTTGACTTGGCAAATCTTCCTTCTTCAGACTGGCTTTTAGTGGATAGAGTTACAGCAATGTTTTTTTGCAAACTGTTTTATTTATAATTTCATGAGTGTGCCACCAGCAGAGCACACAATGAGGGAAGATATCTCATCATCCATTAAACAATGGTGAAAAGAGCACACTGCATACTGTGTCTATGGAGAGGACAGCATTTCAGGGAGAGTGCACTAAAAGCCAAATAAAGGTGATTGTGTGAAAGCATAGAAGGAAGAGGAAGGTGCAATGGAGGTTAAGGGATGAAAAGAAGAGATGATTTGTGGTGGAGAGGAAGGAGTGTGTGAGGGAGAGGTGAGAGACATAAGATCTTAAAGCATTTGTTTTTATATGTTAAAGTAATAACCTGAAAAGCTGTTTTTCCCAGGTGCTCTACATACCTTTCACTTGAATTTTAAGGGAACTACAGATAAGCAGTTAGCTGTTACCCTGCCAGCAGAACTCAGTCTGCCACAGGGATTTCCCAGGAGAGCCAGGCAGACCTTAGCACCCACTTTCCTGTGTACAGTGAAGAGGTGGCCTCTGAACAGCGCTGCAGCTGTTTGGCTTCCCAGTAGAGTCTCGGGCCCCTGTTAAATTGTGCAGGCAGACTGCCTGGTCCATCAGGGCTGCCCCCTGGCTATTCCTGCCAGCAGGAAGAGCTGTTCAATTAAATTTTTTGAGGAGCAGTGCACAGCACTGGGAGGGGATTCATTATCTTTTTTATCATGTGGTGCTATCAGGCCAGTGTTAGTGTCTCTGAAGGCCAGTTTAGCTCTCTAGAGAAGTGTAAGTGCTTGCTAAGGCAGAAGGGACAACACTGATGTGCTGCTGGGTAGTTTGTTGCTGATGGGATCATTGTTGTGGTGTAATGTGTGTGTTTGTGCTCATCTCTCTGCAGGAACGCAGCTTTGATTGTAAGATCTGTGGCAAGAGTTTTAAGAGATCTTCTACTCTGTCGACCCACCTGCTTATCCACTCGGACACCCGACCCTATCCGTGCCAGTACTGTGGGAAGCGATTCCACCAGAAATCTGATATGAAGAAACACACCTTCATTCACACAGGTCAGCCCTGCAGCTGCTGGTATTCAGCCCCAACACGAAGGCAGAGGTTTCTCTGCAGCAATCCATTCCTACTCAGCTGGGACAGTACACACACATCTCCCGGTGCTTCTCACTGCCCCGCTGCTATTCATGCTATCTGAGCTGTACTTGGGTAAAGGAGGGTGATTTGAATGTGGTTTACTGAACAGCAGCTGCAAAACAACCCAAATCCTAGCAATCCAATCGGTGTTCTCTTAATAGGATCCACCAATGTTTATTCAAAGGGCTTTTGTGTAAGATGATTTGTAGAGTATTATATTCGTGTAGCCTTGATTTACAGCTGAGGTCCCTGGAAAATGACAGATGAATTTGATTGCAGCATTGCTTTTTGCAGGATCTACCAATTTACAATAGGAGCAACAGGAGTCTCCTCCTCTAGATCAAACACTAAACTGGAGGGCTGAGGATCCAGCTCTTAGTCTAAATATTTGTTCAGAGATTGCACTTCCACCCGGACTTTCTGAGAAATGGCTGCAGTTTGATACAAAATGGAAGGAGAGGTGCAGAGTTCTCAAGTTTCACTGTTAGTAATAAACATGGAAACTAATAAAGTGCAGGTGAATCACCAAAGGAAATTGTTTTAAAAATGTCATTCAGTGAGAAGGCAGGTTTATCAGAAATCATTAAAAGAAAATCTTGCCTTTCAGACCTGCACCGTTCACTTAAAGTAGAGGGAAATGAATGATGTGTGAGATATGGAAGAATTTGTAGACATGAAATAATAGCTTTACTGGCCAAACCCAAGGTTCAGATGACAAAAATCCTTTTTCCTGATGTGTCCACTAGCAGATATCAAGAGTGAAGCCTAAAAATGGCAAATATGTAGAAAGATGGCACTATATATGGTGCTGCTTGACTGTGACTTTTCTACGTGATAAGCAGTGAACAATAAATGTTACTTATAAAGATTTTCCACTAGATGGTTGCTGGATGAAAATGAACTATTTAGAAGTAACACAAGTATTTCCATAATAACTTTTTCAAATGAGACTTGATTAAGTAGAATTTCAGCCAAATTCTGAATCAGTCAAACCCATTATTTTGTTGTGAGATCAGAAACTGTGCCTGGGCTTTTAAACTGCTATAAAACCAGGTCCTTAACTGAATCAGGGATTCCGTTCATATGCAGCATATACTTGTGAACTGAGACTTCAGCAAATTTTGTATTATTTTACGATTCTAAGAATCTGATCTTCAAACATCCAGAGAGTTTGTTGCTCCAGCTGAAGTCAGTGGGCTCTGCAGGTGCAAAGCCACTCTGAAAATCTGACTTGGTATTGTGGTTGGGTTCCCTTTTATTCGTTATTTGATAATAAACACTATGAAAACACACTGAGATCCTGCTCCCATGGAGACCAGTGGAGTTTTGCCACTGAGTGCTCTGTAGAAGTTTCAGAGGCTGCATTTATTCTCATTTACATTATTTGCCTTCAGGAGAACTTCAAGGCTGTGACTGATAGCATTTCAGTGTGGAGAACAGAGAGAAGAACAGATGTTTGGATAAACCCTGCCCTTCAGGGCTCAACTGAATGGTCCTAATACCTCCCTTGGGGACAGATCCCAGCTCACTGGGTTGATCTTAACAACCTCCACCTACCTATTCCCCCTGCCCCTATGCTGATGGTACAGTAATCCATGTCATGCATTCATCACTTTTCAAGGAGTTCCTCACGTTTCTAGGGCACAAAGCCAGTTTAAATTGGACAGAGCCCATGCAGCCAAATATGTTCACAAAGTGTGGTATCCTGAGAGCACTCTGTGCTTCAGACTGCTCCCAGGATGGACGTGCATTCAAGTCCAGACCTGCTCAGCTGTAGTGCAGGCTCAACTAATGCTTTGAGGCTCCCAACTGCATGTTTTTTGTAAGAATGACTTCTTAGGTAATCACACAGGAATCTGTTTAATAAGCTGTAAGGCCCAGTGTGCATTTGCTGTTCGCTGTGGTCCCATGTAAGCAGCATGATGCCTCTTTCACACCCTCTTTCATTTTCCCACCTTCTACTTGCAGGTGAGAAGCCTCACAAGTGCCAGGTGTGTGGAAAAGCCTTTAGTCAGAGCTCCAACCTCATCACCCACAGTCGGAAGCACACAGGCTTCAAGCCCTTTGGCTGTGATCTGTGTGGCAAAGGCTTCCAACGAAAGGTGGATTTACGGAGACACCGGGAGACACAGCATGGCCTGAAATGAGCCTCATCTGCAATACGGAAAGCCTACAACACTATGAGAACAGACTCCCTTGGCTTCCTTGCTGGACCCAAGCCATTTCCTGAACACAAACCCTGGCATTATCTTTCTGAACAGAGCTTGAAGAGGAAAGAAGAGAACAGAGCCATGCATTGACAGCTCAACCTGAATGACTGAAAGTAGAAATTAAAGGCTGGCATTTTTCTCTTTCTTTTCTCCTCTTTGTCTCTGAAATAACACTGGAAAATAAGTCTTTTAGATATGAAGCCTTGATATTCCAAAGATGGATAAGCTACCAAATGTCTGTAAGGTGGAAAATACTTCTCCCATGGCCATGATGAACCCCTTCAAGTTTTCAGTAGCTTGAATCACCTTGCAGGAAAACATGGGTATAACAGTGTTTACATGGTGCAATGACAGAGAGCCATCAGCACTTGCCTTGGTTAAGTCCAGTGCTGAATGGGTTCACTCTTGGATGGTTTCCTTTCAGGACTGTGCAGTTTGACATCTTGCTGGTTTTTAAGCAAAGGTACCAGTTTGGGTCTGAGTCTGCTCTCACTTGTTCTGGTGCAAATCAGGAGCTGCATTATCAGTTATAGAGAGGCCCTTTTTATCCTCCCAGAACTGTCTCTCTGTCCGTGCAAGGCCTGACTGCCTGAGTGTTTGAGGTATGGGGGGGGTTACCTCTTCCTACATCCTGTGGGGAGAAGGAAGTTTGTGAAAAGACCACTGGAAAAGCCAAAGCACAGAATTATGCCTTAGAACTAGAAACCAATCCGACAAGTGATCCTGCCTGAGAAAGACAGGAGCACAAGGAAGGCACAGACTTTCTGTCCAGAACCATTACAGGCTTCTGCACTCTGGGCTTGTTCTAATAACTGGAAAATAGCTACTCAATAGCGTCATTTGTATATTTGGTTTTGTTTTTTTAATTTTTAGAGGGAAACTTTCTGAGGTGGGCAGGAATTATTATAAAAGTATAATTGACTTAATTTGCCTTAAACAACCCTGCATGTACCTCAGTTAAAAAAAAAAGCTGTTTTTACTTTGTTGACAGGTTTGTAAATGTTCTTATTTAGATTTTACAGAGTGTCTTATGTTTCTTGGCACATATTTATTGGAACAATGTTTTAAGTTAATAAAGTATTGAGGATGGTCCAGAGTGATTTTTATTTAATATCTAACTTAAGCACATTTGTGAATGTCAGCCATTACAACAATACAGAGATTGTTAGGAATGCAGAATCTGAGGACAGAATGTAGGCACAGCAGAATTTGCACAAGGTCTGTAGTGATTGGAGAACACCACTGCCATATATATTTGTCCAGCTCCCACTGATTTCAGTTAAACATTTACACTTTTGAAGACTGGGGTATACTGGGCCTAGTGCTATCAGCATGAAAGGGTTTAGAGGAGAAACAGTGGTTTTAAGTGTCTGCTTTGGAAGTGTAGACTGCCAGAAGTCTCTGCTTAGCCCAGGAGAAACTTGAATGTCCCCCCACAAGATTAAATGTCTGTGCCTGGGAGTTTGCAGGGACACCTGAGCAGCAGGTGCATCATTTATACTTAAGCCTGTTGGGACTCAGAGCGTTGCCTTTTGCCTGCCTGCCTTGTCAGCAGGGCGGGCTCCATCTGGCAGTTGCAGCCCATACAAAAGGGAAGCAGGAGGAGGATGGAGGGCTCCCTTGTCCTTTTCCCAGCAGAGCACAGCATGGCAGCCTAGGCTTTTATATGTGCATGTAATCTTGTGCCCACATGGGTATATACTCTTGTTTTCAGCTTTGTACTTTTATTTTGGATAAACCCAGTGAGCAGAGGCCCCTGTGCCCTGCTGGCCCAGCCCTGCAGCACCCTTCCCACCTGAGGGCCGTGGCGCTCTGCCTGCCATGGTGGCACCCAGGTCCCTCTGTGTTTCTGCTTTCTGCCACCCCTGAGAACCTCAGCTGCTTCCCCACAGGTCGCCATCGCAGGCTATGGCTGAAGCGAATCCCCACAGGGCAAACCCCCTTGGGCAGGGCTTTGCTGCCAGGCAGGGCTGCCCACACACCGAGCTCTTACTGAACAGCCCAGCAGTGAGTGAGAGAGGCTGTGGCACAGGCACCACAGAAGGTGCCAGGTGCTCTGATGACCACACATGAGGCCCATTATGCTGGATTAATTAATGCAGAAGGTCAGTGTAGGACACTAAGTGTTGATGGGGAGGACCTGTGATGTCCTGGGCCCTGCCCGGGCCAGGGGAGACTCCAAGGAGCAGCTCATCAGGTGGCACAGGTAGGCTTGGGGTGTCCCAGAGTTATGCTCAGTATTTATTTTACAGGGAAAGGGGTGGTGTGGATGGAGTTGAGTGCTGGCCAGGGGTTCTGGGCATGGGGTGGCCTGGGTGCCAGCCCCTCTGCCCTCAGGAGGGCCTTTCCTGCTGGGCACAGCCTTCCTCCCTCCCTCTGAGCAGGTCTCACTCCAGCAGACCCTGAGCAGGCTCAGTTGCTGGCATTTGCCTTTATGATGATAGTAGCAATGTGTGCCTGTTCCCCTGGAGTGTCCCATTTCCAACAGGGCTACTAGTGTGGTTTGAGCCTAGTGCTGCCCTGCTGTCTGGGGTGGGCAGCCGGGGAGGCAGTGTGGACACAGCCCAGGTGGTGAGAATGTTTTTTATGGGAAGAAACTCAGGTGTTTTTATTGGTTCAAGTGTGTCTCCTGCCAGAGCGTGTTGCAGTTCACTGGTGTGTCTCAGGGGACCAGTGCTGGGCTGCTGCTCAGGCCCAAGCTGCCCCCAAATGTCCATGTGTGGCTGCATGGGAAGGTGTTCCCACCTCCCCAGCCCCTCTTGCAGGAGTACCAGCTGCTGGCTTAGGTAAAATGCAGCTACCTGTGGAGAAAAGACATAGCTTTAAGGTGGGGAATTGAAATGAAGAAAAGAAGATTTATCTGGGGAGAATCAGAACAGGCTACTGAGAGGCTGCAGTGCAAGTCTGAAGATTGGAAATATCTCTCTCAATGTTATTACTGCGTGCCATTAAAAATGCATTATGCATATTACATTACATTCATGAAGCAGGTTCCATACCTTTTGTTTGCCAGAGTAACAGTAGAAAGGGTAAGGAGAGACGCTGGAGCACACCTTTGTTTCTTTCTGTAAATTTTTAATGACACCTCTAGCTAACCAGTTGGTGAAGCTCAGTTCCTGCATAAAAGTGGAAAGGCAGAGCTATCTACAGGGCGACTAAGCCTTTCAGAAGCTAATTTGAGCTTGTGTTCATCCACGCCAACAATGATTAAATTACCTATCAAGTGTGCAGAGCTATCAGAATTCAGGGCATTGAAAAACAAGGTGAATTTATCTGATTGATGTAGAAGACATGGGTGGAACAAGTGGGTTATAAAAAGAAAAGATCTATTCCTTAAAGATATTATAAAAGTACTTCTCCTGGCAAGCTAATGAACTTGTTACTTTGCTTCCAAAAGTTGTTTTGCCTGCCCGGAAAACAAATTTAGTAGTTGGAATCAAAATGCTTTATCCAAATCAGTTAGCAAGGTGAATTAATTCATGAGGCAGAAACAAAGCAACTTATTAGGTTCCATCCTTATGCCAAGCAGAGATGTTTAAAATTAAAATATGCAAACATCATCTGTGTTTTCTATATAGTCAGTTTTCAAAAGCTGATAGTAACACTCAGATTGGATATTGCAACACAAGTGAGAGAGCAGCTCTTCTGGGTCTTGCTCCTTCCTCAAGCAAAACTTTTGTTACAGTTGATGGGGGGGAGGAAGAGTTTTTTTAGAATAAGCCCTGGGTGAAAGATTGCAAGACTCGTGCAACTCTATTTGCAAGCTGTGCTGCTCTTGCATGTTGACAAAGGTGTGCTCCTCAAGTCTCTGCATTTTCCATCCTTAAGAGAGAAAAACCAAACAGGTCAGTTGTGTCAAATTCATCTCCAGCATTACCCCAGTTCACATCAGGAATGGATTTTGCCTTTACTATATAAGATTTGGGTCCTACTCTAAACTTAATAGTGAAACATAGGTCAGCATACTGTCCTTTGGGTGAATTGTGATTTAGAAAAGCACTGAAATATGCATGTAAGTCAATGGAGTGCTTCTCTAGCAGAGACCTTATTAGATGCTTGCTCAGAGTCAAAATTCCAGAGATTTTCCCTGCTGAATCCTCGACCTCACTCCATTGCCAAGCCACATCCTGTATGTCTGTTTTCACCTGCAGTGGAAGTGGCTGCTGAGAATGCCAAGGGTAATTTTTTTTAAATTGTCAGTAGGATAGTGGAAGTTTCCAGTATTTTTTCCTCCGAGTAATAAAGCACTCTAAATAGATTTAAGGCATGAAAACATCTGTAATGCATTATAAGGTGTGTAAAATGATGGAATCAGATTTGAGAAGATATTTGTGCATCTGAAGCTGCAGACAGATCTGAATGTACATTGGATATGGGTATCTAGTTGTGTCTTTGACTTCCCTACTGGGGAAAGAAAACAAAACAAAAAAACAATACAGGAGTCTCAGAAAATTTCCAGAGTCTGTGTCACACCAGTTTGTGATATCCACAACATATGGACTATAAAGAGAGAGAGCACATAAATCTGAAAGTAGTGTTTCATACATTATAAAAGTGCTGGCCACACCTTGTTGGAATAATGTTGCCTAACAGATTAACCTGGAGCATGTGATAAATCTTTTAAATCAGATGAAAGCAAACCACTTTTATTTGCTGCTTCTCATCTGCATGTTTTTTGCGTTTTTTTAGTAGAGATGTCATAAAAGAATACTGAATAAGACTAACCTAGAAAGAAAATAATATAACAGCTATTGAAAAGATTTTCTTCTTTAAAACCATCCAGCCAACTTTCTGACACACGTGTGATCTGCCAGCCAGCTGGATACTACCATGCATGGAGTACATCCACCCCAGCTTGCCCAGGCCCAGCTTGCCAAGGCACTGGCAACATTTCATGCTGCAATGCTGGGGTCCTCTGCTCAAGCAGCCCAAAAAGCACCTCAGCTGTTGGCTTGTGCTGCCAGCTCCCTCCTTGGCGTGCATGTCAGAGGTGGCTGGGCAGGAGTGCAGCACAGGAGATGTTTAAAATGGCCAAGATATTCCATTTATTTAGTTACTGTAATAGAGCCAGCTGGCATTAAAGGGAAACTGTAATCCTCTGAGGTGACAGACAGGCCAGTATGACACAAAACTTATGTTTTAC